ACAAACATTTCACTAAGGTTTTTCCCAAACATTTTCACCAGAAATTGAAAAAAAAAACATAATTTATTCCAATGAAATTTTATAGAATTAATTGTAAATAAAATATTGAAAGAAAACACAACGATTTTCATAATTATCACATAATCATCATAATTCATAAATCTAAGATTTTCTTATTTATAAAATTTTATTTTATATACAAAAACATTACTTTTTAGTGAAAATTTTAAAGAAATTAAAAACTTATGTTTTTTTTTAAACAATTTATGTATCTGCATATATTTTTTTTATAATTATATATTTTGAATTAAATTTTAATGAAACATTGTTTAAAATAATAAATATTAAATCAATTTTAACAAACACAATTATTTTCAACAATGTTCATGAACCGCAGCGCGAGTAAATAATATTTAAATAAAAAAAATAAACGTACATAACAATTATTACCACATGTATGCTTTTTGGTGGAATAGTTCTAGGTTGAATTGCATATTGATTTTAAATAAACGTAATTGTAATTGTACACAAATTGCTCTGAAACATTCATTTAATCACTGTAATTAATTTAATTAGTATAATAGAATAATTAAATAGTGTAGAAAAATATATTAAATAAATTACTTTAAAATTATTTTATTTAAACTTATTTTACTGATTTTTTTTTCTTTTAAAATCTATTCAGTGCTTCAGAAGTTATTGTTTATAAATAATTGTATATTGTTTATAAATAAAACAGGAATATTTCAATATAAATTTAGCAATGTTTGAGTTAAATACAATTTGATTTCTAAGATATTTGTGAAATTTTTAATATGAACATTTGTTCTTTAAAATCCATTCAATGATTTAGAAGTTATCGTATATCAGTATAAATTAGCAATATTTTTGTTAAATATATTTGGATTTCAATGATATTTGTGAAATATTTATAGCGAATGAATTGTAAATTTGTAAAAATCAATTATTTGAAAATGTAAAAATTGTGATTATTTGAATACAAATTTAGCAGTGCTTTAATAATATTAACCACATACGTGACATGTGATTGGAATTCTTGATTTTGCGGTCGATAACCTGTGGAGTTAATTATTTTTTTTGTGTGCAATTATCATTGATTTACCTTAGATTGAGTTGTGAGAATGTTGTCGAGTTGTAGAATATTACAAATAATAAAAGCATGTGAATGTGTAACACTTTGAGAAGAGAATCACTTGCGTGTATTAACAGAGAAACATACACTTGAACAATTGTTTTTTTTAACGTAACGTATCACTGGGATTACGAGGCGTCCGCGCCGATTCCGAACCAAAAACTGGACATTATCTAATAAATATTGTAAGAGCGTGTGCATGCGAGAAAACCTCGACGAACAGGTTGTGTGACGTCAAATGAACACAGCAGGCAGGGTCACGGCTTCTTCCACGGACAGCTTGGATTCTTGTGGTATAGACTTCGTTGGAAGCGAGCGAAAGAAGCGACCGACGCGCCGAAGAAGAAACAGTTATCCCACCAAATACACGAAATCAATCCGTCTGCAAATTTTATTTATCGGTTTTAAATAAGAAAACAATGAGGAGCGTTTCACTTGGCTCGTTTTTCTTCATTCCTTTCCTTTCCTTCCGTCCTTCCTTCCTCGGACGCTCAGGCAATAAAATAAGTGGAAAGGAAAATAGAAAATGCACGTTTCTGATCGGATGGTTTTCAATTGCATTCCCGAGTGCATGGAGTAGGTTGTGGAAGGTGGGAGGAGGAGGAAGGCCAGGAAACTCGGATGGATATATATTTATACCGATGCATTTATATACCCAAATGCAGAATGAAACCAACGACCGATGAAATTACTTTATCGACTGAGCGCAAGGAGGGAACGAGGAATAGTTTAATTTATTGGCATCCGCTTTTCCAGCGGAAATTCACAAATCGTGGAGACGATTACCCGGCGAGAGGTGTTGACCCCGCGATACATCATGTCCCAAATGCGAATGCGAGGTGATCAGGACCCGTCGATGAAAAGAATTACCATTCCGTTCCATTCCCCTTCAACCTGATACTTTTTCCTTCAACTTATTGGTATTCAGCCGTGAAAATCCATCAATAATTCATTCAACAATAGTAAGTTATTTTGTAACTCTTTTTCTTGAAAAAAAAAATAACAACTATAGACTTTGACAAATTTTATTTATTTTTTGTTTTAATCCTCTTTGTAGCCAATAAATTTATATTATTACTATATTTAATCTTCATTTTCCTATACTAATCATTAATAAAAAAAAAACAAATAACTAGTATTTAGACTTTCAGTTTAAAGAGTTTCTCTTGTTTCTTAATTTAGTTACTTAAATATTCTTGTTAAAGAAGTACACATTTCTAATCATTAAGTAAAATATATATTTGAAAACTTTCTTTTATAAAAATATAATTACTTATAGGTTAGTTTATCATTAGTTATGTAATAATTGTTGTAATAAACATTATTAATGTCGTTTTCATTATTTTATTTATAAATTCTATTTAAATATGATACAAAAAAATATTTATTTTTCATACATAGAAAATTTTAGCAACTTTTTGCGTTTCATTACAACTATAAATGTACACATTTCTTATTGCCGTGATTCACATTTTTTATATTAACTTATTTAATTTGAATATTTATAATCTATAAATCTTGTTGATGAAGTACAAATTTCTAATCGTTAAGTAAAGTATATGTTTGGAAACTTTCTTCTCTAATTTATCATTACTTATAAGTAATTTTATTAATTATTTTATTTACAAATTCTGTATGGATAAAGAATGATGATAAATAAATTTATTTCTTTTTTTTTACAAAATATTACCGAATATTTAGGTTTATTTACTATATAGATTTATAAAAATTGAATATTTTATTTATTTAATTAATTGGAATATTGATTAAAAGTATTTTTTGTTCTTTTTGGATTATAAATAAATCTAGTCTTGTTTAAGTTTATTTATAGTTATATTTGCTATTATTTAGCAAAACCTCATTGTAGAAATAAAAATTATGAATGAATATTTTTTTCGAATTTTACGAAATATTAGTTTATTTACATAGAACATAAAGAAAACTACATTGTACACTTATGTAAACTCTTCATAAATTAAACCAGTAAAAATAACTTGATTTATATTTTTTGAGTTTCACAATTTTTCAAATAATATATTTTTTTTAATGTGATTATAGTATTTCACTACATATTTTTTGGAAGCATTGGATATAATATAAATTTTATTATATGAAGTAAAATTTTTAGTTATGATTAATTAATATAAATTAATTTAAAGGTTTAATTTATCTTTTTATTTCATATGAAAAATATTATAAACTAATGTAATAATATTAATATAAATACAAATACAAATAAACTGTTAATTGTAAAGTAACGTTTGGTTGCATAATAAATTGAATGTGGTAATGTGGTAAATATTATTATTGTAGAAGAAAGTACGAAGAATGTGTATAGAAAATGTTACGGAGTGTTGTGACCTGTGTGTTATGTGCGTACAATAAGCAAATAAATTATGCATGTAAAGAGGAAACAATGGTACCACACTATAACCTCACATGCACAAATAAATATGGAATAACTGGATGAAAAGAACAAGAAAATCTTGTTCGATGCACTTTTTCCAGAACAAAAATGTGTATAGTTATTATATAAAACGATGTTCAAACATGATCGGAACAGTAGGTGAAAAACGAGGAACTGGTGAAAAACTGTTAGCAATTGTCAATGACAAAACGAATTGACAGCTGTCACCAAGTGTCAAAAGTTAAGAACTGGTTGAAAACTGTTAGCAATTGTCAATGACAAAACGAATTGACAGCTGTCAGCAAGCGTCAAAAGTTAGGAGCTGATGAAAAACTGTTAGCAATTGTCAATCACAAAATGAATTGATAGCTGTCACCATGTGTCAAAAGTTAAGAGCTGGTGAAAAACTGTTAGCAATTGTTAATAACAAAACGAAATGACAGCTGTCACTGAGCGTCAAAATTTAAGACCTGGTGAAAAACTGTTAGCAATTCTTATTGACATAACGAAATGACAGCTGTCACCATGTATGAAAAGCAAAAAATGGTGAAAAACTGTTAGCAATTGGATCGCAGTACAACTACTAAGAAATGTATTAAGTCGCTAGGCAAAAAGGTTCAGAAATGCTGCTTTATAACAATCTTCTAACTATAAAATTAAATATTTGCACATTCTTACATTTTAGTATTAAATCATATATTTGAAACCTTAGTATGACAGAAAAAGGGTTTTAATTTTTAAAACCAACCCTAGTTAAATATATAAGTGAAACGACTAAGCAAATTATTAATTACTCAGAATAGACAATTGTATGTATGAGAACAAACTAAGAGTCAAGCGTTGTGAGATGATTTAATCCAGTGATTCTGGCAATAGCAGCATCCATGATCTATTGTTTGCACCGATTTGCAGCGCACGAATTTATGTAATCCGAAGAGATGGATCTGGTCTGGCCCTTCTTATGGGAAATTAAGAGATCCCAGGCCGAAGCCGAAACTTCCCCGCACATACAGATGTAGTCTGCAGGGGGGTGTATTTCGCTCAGCCAGCAAAAACTTTTTAAATAAAACTTATATAATAATATGACGAACGGAAAAAGGGATGTGGGATGTGTGTATGTGTGCGAACGCGAGGATTGGGAAAGTTGCTGATTCCGAAAGTTCCGAACGTCGGGTCCGATAACTTTTCCATTCAATTAATAATTGAAATTATGGAAATATCCGGAATCCCGGTGTGCACCCGGTTATACGTAGAAACCTAGTAATATTCGAGTAATAATTGCACGGCAAACACTATTGAATTTACCCGTTTGCTGATTACGCGAAATTAACACGAAAGTTTTATTGTATTCAGATTATAGCCAATCGCGATTGGAAGGTATGGTATATAACGTTGAAAATGATTGCTTTTCAATGATTTCTTAGATCATTATTTATTTACTTTGTGGAATTGCAGACTATCCAAGCTGAAGCGTCAAAGATTATTGGACAACGATGCAGCCACCAAATTATGTAAGAGGATGCTTTCATCGGGGGATGTTAAATGTTTCAAGGAATAGAGAGAGCATATCGTGTTGGGTCGATGGCATTCCTCGCACGCTCCTGGGTATTATATTGATATAATGTAACCTCTCCAGAACCACTGCAATCTCTATCAACGAAAATATCACAAAAATGTTTACTTCCTGAAATTCACTTCATCCTGTACACTTTTAAGAATCGATATTTACCTTATCTATTCTTCAGTTGTAATCGAACCTTTCCGCAAATCCACATTGATTGGATTCCTGAAAATAAATAAATTATACATATTAATCAAATTGTATCCTTAACAAGATTAGTAGTTGTCCTTAAGTTGTCATTAGTGAATCAAATTTTACGCTTAAGAATTGTCATAACTTTAAGTTGTCATTAGTCAATCAAATGTTGTCCTTACTAACTGTCACAAAATTTGTGGTAACTTTAAGTTTATAAATCAATCAAATTTTATGTCATAAGATTTGTAATAACTTTAAATTGTCAGTCACTCTATAAAATTTCATCCTTAGAAACTGTCAGATTATTTAAATTTGGCAATCATTAATCAAATTTTATTCTCAGAAAGTGTCACAATAAGAAACTTTAAGTTGTCATTAGTCAATAAAATTTTATACTTTGCAACGATCATAAGATTTGTAGTAACTTTACGTTGTCACTCATCAATTATATTTTATCCTTAGCACTTGTCACAATATTTATAGTAATTTTAAGTTGTCATTTATCAATAAAATTTCATCTTTAGCAACTGTCAAAACAAGTTTAGTAACTTTAAGTTGTCATTAGTTAATAAAATAGATTTGTAGTAACTTTATGTCTTCATTCGTCAATTATATTTTATCCTTAGCATCTGTCATAATAGTTATAGTAATTTAAGTTGTCATTTATCAATAACATTTCATATTTAATAACTGTCAAAAGTTATGTAGTAGCTTTAAGTTATCATTTGTGAATCAAATTTTATCTTTAGTTACTATCACAAGATTTGTAGTAACTTTAAGATATTTCAACAATGAAATTTTATACTAAACCACTGTTATTAGATTTTAGTAACTTGAAGTTGTCATTCATCAATCTAAGTTTATCCTTAGCAACTGTCAAATGATTTGTACTAACTTTAAGTTATCTTTAGTACTTTAAAGTTAATATTTAGTAACTGTACCAAGATTTATAGTAACTTTAAGGTAATTTATCAATGAATTTTTATACTAAACAGATGTCCTTAGACATAGTAAATTCGAAGTTGTCTTTAAGATATCATTAGTCAAATGACAATTCCAGTTATAAGATTTGTAGCAACTTAAATTGAAAACTTTAAGTTTTCATTAGATATTTATCCTTAGCAACTATCACAATACTTGTAGCAACTGTAAGTTGACTGTAGTTATTAAAGCAGAGAATAAACAAAATATATGATAACTTGTATTTTGTAAATTAGGTAGTATTATAATACAATAAAAACTTTCAGAAACAAACACAAATGAATAAAAACTAAGTTGAGTAACTTGCGTTACTTTTGGTTACATAATCTTTTTTGTCTGTCTAATTATCTAACAACGAAATGCACGTTCATAAGTGAAAATGTAAATATTAAATGGTTTTTTTTGAAGTTCAAACAGATTATTGGCAATTTGTAGGCAACAGTGCTCATCGTTTTCATTTTTAAAATACTTTTGATTGCTTACGCAAATACAGCTGTAAAGAGGTGTGAATGTATTCAGTAAATATTGGGGGCAAAAACGGCTCCGGGTTTCTTCTATTTAATTTGTGCGTGAAACGTTGTATTATAGTTGTAATATGAAGCAATGTATTGATTATTTCTAACTAATAAAAACGTACACAATTATCCGAGGGCTACGAACCTTGAACCATACATAAATAATAACTTTTGTAAGGGCGGTATGAAAATTTTGTGTTAATAAATAAATAAATAAATATTGTAATAATATTGTTATTTAATTACGCATAAATAACTTATAAGATTTGTAACAACTATAAATTACTATTAATCAATAAAATTTTATTTGTCTATAGTTACAGATTTATTCTTTTTAGTTGTTTTTTATGTATATTTTTTTTATTAATTTTTTTTGAGCTTTATGAATTTTTATTCTTAAACTTTATGAATGAACATAAAATATATATTAGTGAATTGCAGATGATTTTTGTTTGGTTTTTATTTTATAAAATGTTGTGTTTATGTAAAGTTTAAATTTTGATTTCAAAATGTATGGAAATATGAGTAAATGTTATTTTATTACACATAAAATGTATAATTTCCGTATGAATTCTTTTTCTTAATAGCATTTGCTCCATTTAACATATTTCTTCTATGCTTACCAGATGACTAAACACCTGTAGAAAGTGTAATTGATCGTTTGAAAAACATTATTACCATCAAGTAATTACACTCACTTCAGTTAATATTTCAAATTCAATTAGCATATTTACATCTGTTGTAAACAATTATTTTCGTTAAGAATGATTTTATTTATTTAATTACACAATAATTATCTACTATATTTCAGTTCAGATTTTTCATTATTAAATATTAAAAAAAAATGAAACTTTCATATTATTTACTTAATTTTCAATTGAAAGTTTGTAAATTAAAGTAGAAATTTCGTTCTCAAAATCAACTTTCAATCAATTATGTAAAATTATTAAAAAAATTTAAACTTTTATAAACATTATTTCAAAATTAGAATTTGTGCGAAGAAAAAGTAAAATTTACAAATTGAATGACGAAATTAGTTCTTATTAATTTATAACTTATTAATAAATCCTAAACTTTTACAAAAAAAAAAAACACTTTTCAACTGATTTTTTTTGTAATGAATGTACAAATAAAAAAATTTATGTTAATTAAAATTATGTAATTATATATTGAATTTTCGTGATAAAAAGTTAAGTTTGAGAATCAAAGAGATAATCAAAGTTTTTTCAAAGAAAATTAATTGTTCTATTTGTAATTGTTACATTTTTGTAATGCAAAGAAAGTTTGAATTCAATGATGATTTAATCAATTATCGAAAACAATATGAATATTATATAATTTAAAAATTAATAAGGAAATCAAATTTTTTGTTATGAAAATCAAATTTGATATTGTGTTTGAATATTATATAAAATAATTAGTATTTTCTTAATTAAATTTATGTAATTTTATATTGAATTTTTGTCATCAAAAGTTAAGTTTTATACTGAAAAGAAAGTTTGAATTCAATAATGATTTCATCAATTATCAAAATCAATATGAATATTATATAATAAATCTGTCAATTCTGCTGAATTTTAGTAAAGTTTGAAATTCAATTTTCTAAATCAAAGTTTGTTGGATATTGAGCTTGTGCATTTGCAGGTGGACAAATGATGTATGTTAATGTTAAAGCACGAAGCGGAAGTTCATTAGCTTCCAAACACAGCACTCGGCATCTCCAGCGGCGGTTTGTGCAGCAAACGCAAATGCTACTACTACCATTATCACTATCATCATCACCAAAAACCTTTCATACCACTTTTCCAAATAGCAGCCATCACCACTTTAATCGCCTGCCTCTCCAGAGCCGATTATTGAATTTCGACAATCGCCCTGCGTATCGATATGTAAATGCTAATGCACATGAAATTAACGATAAATCATTTTCAGGGTCGAGGGTGGGTGGCGCGCACATAAAGGACGGGGATCGCTATAAATTTGCCTAAATAAACCTAGAATATTTAGTCCCATAAATTTCCTATATGGTCAATTTGGTAAATCTAATTTAATTCGCCGATTCACTCCGAATGGATTCTCATTCCCATACGAATTCACCTCCATAATTTTAATTAAACTATCCTTATTATATAATATTGATGATAGTCATTTCTTATTTAACTTCACCAAAATTTAATAATATCATTAGTAGCAAATAATTGTCTATACAAAGTTGACTCTTATTTCTGCATAATAATTTTTGATAGATTTATAACGTTTTCAATTATAATCTCTGAAATATTACAATCTAGGATTTTTTTTTAAGATCTTTATACTATTGTCTTATAAACTAAAATTGATTTGATTTTCACTAAGAATTTTAAGTCTTATAATAAATAATAATAAGGGATTTTGATAATCATTCAAAAAAATTTCAGCAATTTTCCAAATATTATATCTATTTTCATTAAATTTAATCAAAATTTGTTTTCTAATTTTGCGAAAATTATTAATAAAATTTAATATGAAAAAAAAAATAAAAGTATATATTTTACAGATAGATTAAATTAACAAAATGACAAATTTAATAAAAGTATTATGAAATTGTTTACATAAATTTAATAAAATTGTTGTTTCTTTCCGTAAATTTATGGTAACGTATTCAAAAAATCCATTTAATCATTCTGCATTACATTACGTGAGAACGAGTAATTTATATTACGCGACAAAAAGAAAAAATTAGATTCGCATCTATGTAATTTCTTGTTTTATTTAATTTTTTTTGTTCATTATTTGCAAACGGTTTTTTTTTCTTAAATAGTGATTTGAACTATAAATTCAGGCAAAAAATAAAATTAGTCCGATTTGTAAATTCGCATCAATGTAATTTTTTGTTTGTTCATTATTTGTAAACGATTTTTTTAAATATGTATACAGATTCAATCAGTCCGGATTCATTATGGTGCGTACACTTAAGTCTCTTTTTGGCCGGTTTCAAATAGTCCGACAGAAACAATTACCCGCACTATTTGAGGTATTTATATAATCAAAATGTGTACCATTTCATAATAGTTATGAGTCTTTCATGAACGAAAGTTTATGTGAAAAAGAGAGAACATTGATGAAAAATGTGAAACAAAGAGATTTGTCTCTTTTTGTGCGTTTTATTTTATTTTATTTAGTTCCTCAATTAATCCGGTTTCAAACAGTCCGGCTGAACCGGTTATCCGCATTATTTGAGGTATTAATGTACTCATAATATGTACCATTTCATAATAGTTTTTTCATGAACGAATGTTTATGTGAAAAAGAGAGAAAATTGATGAAAAATGTGAAATAAAGAGGTTGGTCTCTTTTTGTGCGGTTTATTTCTATTTTATTTAGTTCCTCGATTAATCTGGTTTCAAACAGTCCGGCTGAACCGGTTATCCGCATTATTGTAATGTGTACCATTTCATAATAGTTTTGAGTCTTTCATGAACCAATGTTTATGTGAAAAAGAGATAAAATTGATAAAAAATGTAAAAATATGGGATTGGTCTCTTTTTGTTAATC